AATGACATTGGTAAACTAACCAGTACCTCTTGACTTACAGTACACACTGTACATAGTAACGGGGGCCAATTGTGACTTCAGAAAGGTATGTGAAAATTGTGACACATGACACTTAGTACACAAGGTTTTATTCGTCAACACATATCTGAATCTTCCTGCATTTCCTTTTTCAAAGGAAAACATGCAGCAAATTAGGAGATGGTGGTGTCTTGTTCTCCTGCGAAACTTGCCCATGCCATAAGTGCATTTCATGGTCAGACTTTTTTTTATCAGATACTTAAAAAAACGGTTTTACTTACTGTTAAAAAAAACAACAAAAACAATGTTTTCATAGTGAAAGAATGTTTTCTTTGCATCACCAAGGTCTGAGGAAGACAGATTGCAGGAAAGAAAAAGACGGAGGGAGCACAAAGTAAAACAGGTGAGAGGTAATTGGATTAATTAATCTTGTAGTCAAACTATTGCTTGCAGACTCCCTTCACTGATTTCAGGATGTGAAAGTGGTCCCTCCTAAACGGTTCAGGCTTTCAGAATCTGTGAAGCATCAGGTATTATCCAAACCAGTATTAATGCACACAACCCCCACGGTTGTAGAACTAGGATGTGACAAAGCGGGTTTTGCTGTCATTACTCCATTTACATTCAACCAGGATGCTTAAAATAAGCTAGTGACCGTTGTTTACATTTTGTATTGTTAATATGCCTTTAACACGCACACTCTGTTTCCTTTCTAGTGGAGGCTGAGAACAGGCCAGAACGGGAATAGAGTTACCTGTTGTGGGCTTTTCTAATTTCACTGTTTCTGCCGTCTCCAACTTGTATTTTAATATTTATTGTAGGGCTGCACAATATATCGAAAAATTATCGTCATCGCGATAACAGGACGTGCGATAGGCCCATCGCAAAGCACGTCAAAAACGGCGATAAATGTTTGGTTCAACATTTCCATCCGTGTCATACATCAACTTTTTGTAAACCAGCTCTGTTTTTTACGCGGAAGTATTATTTGACCAATCAAATTTAGTCTTTCTGATATGCGGCCAATCAGATGGGTCCATTCACGTAATACGCCCGCCCCCTACGTAGACCCTTAGGATGGGTGGAACGCAACACCCAAACTGAGTTAGCGGCGCCGTTCCCTTGTTCGTCATGCTGGCTCAGATTAACGAACGCACTTTGTGCTGAGGTTTCTGGAATCAGCGCTGCTTTCAAACGTGAACGTGAGTCCGCTCGGTGTCGTTAAGCAGCCGATAATAACCGGGCTGACTCCGACACATGCCGGTGAACCAACCCACCGTTAGCCCCAGGCTCCGGTTAGCTTCCAGCTAAAAGGCTACAGCACTCTCCTCCCAGTCCCACCCTGCTAAAGAGGGCCTGGAAAAGTTCCCCCACACATCAAAGTGATTTTTCATTTATGAGCTTTTATAACCTTGTTAATCAGGATAGTTGATTTGCTGCTGCACATAAACTGTCAGTCAGAAGCTCTGCTAGCCGCTTATCTTAGAGGAGCTAGTTCAGTTTGTTAGCTTGTTATCAGAATCATAGTTGCAGTTTCATCATCTGAGCTGCTTTTTAAGATCTATGTAAACTTGTTTAATTTGGGGTTAAAAACAAACGTTTTCACGTATTTTCCATGTAGTTTTTTTACCGGGTTCCTCTTCTGAAAGGTAGACAATTGTTTTTCTCTTTCACTCAGAAAATCTTAATATTCTCCTAGTTTGGCCCAGCACAGTTCACTTCCCAGTTACAGCAACAGCCTTATATCATAACCACATAAGTGGAGAAAATGTTCAGTAGCAATGAGAGAATTTGCTGTTGCATTTAAGTGATGTTAACTATTATTTAACATTTAAAATTATTTTCTGATATTTTTATTTACTCAAAAGCCCTGGTAAGGGATGTTTTTCTGTATTTGGAGCATCAGAAAAAGTTTTATGGTGGAGGTGATGTTTTAAAGTCACTGAGAAACTGCATGCATGCAGTTTGTTGTTTTGCTGCTAATACAGTAGCGGGTGCAGCTGCTAATACAGCAGCGGCTGCGGCTGCGAATACAGCAGCAGGTGCGGCTGCTAATACAGCAGCAGGTGCGGCTAATACAGTAGCGGGTACAGCTGCTAATACAGCAGCGGGTACAGCTGCTAATACAGCAGCGGCTGCTAATACAGCAGCGGGTACAGCTGCTAATACAGTAGCGGGTGTAGCTGCTAATACAGTAGCGGGTGTAGCTGCTAATACAGTAGCGGGTGTAGCTGCTAATACAGTAGCAGGTACAGCTGCTAATACAGTAGCGGGTGTAGCTGCTAATACAGTAGCGGGTGTAGCTGCTAATACAGTAGCAGGTACAGCTGCTAATACAGTAGCGGGTGTAGCTGCTAATACAGTAGCGGGTGTAGCTGCTAATACAGTAGCAGGTACAGCTGCTAATACAGCAGCGGCTGCGGCTGCTAATACAGCAGCGGGTGCAGCTGCTAATACAGTAGCAGGTGTAGCTGCTAATACAGCAGCGGGTGCAGCTGCTAATACAGTAGCAGGTGTAGCTGCTAATACAGTAGCGGGTGTAGCTGCTAATACAGTAGCAGGTGCAGCTGCTAATACAGTAGCGGGTGTAGCTGCTAATACAGTAGCGGGTGTAGCTGCTAATACAGTAGCAGGTACAGCTGCTAATACAGCAGCGGCTGCGGCTGCTAATACAGCAGCGGGTGCAGCTGCTAATACAGTAGCAGGTGTAGCTGCTAATACAGCAGCGGGTGCAGCTGCTAATACAGTAGCAGGTGTAGCTGCTAATACAGTAGCAGGTGCAGCTGCTAATACAGTAGCGGGTGCAGCTGCTAATACAGCAGCGGGTGCAGCTGCTAATACAGTAGCAGGTGTAGCTGCTAATACAGCAGCGGGTGCAGCTGCTAATACAGTAGCAGGTACAGCTGCTAATACAGTAGCAGGTGTAGCTGCTAATACAGCAGCGGGTGCTTCTGCTAATACAGTAGCAGGTACAGCTGCTAATACAGTAGCAGGTGTAGCTGCTAATACAGCAGCGAGTGTAGCTGCTAATACAGCAGCGGGTGTAGCTGCTAATACAGCAGCGGGTGCTTCTGCTAATACAGTAGCAGGTACAGCTGCTAATACAGTAGCGAGTGTAGCTGCTAATACAGTAGCAGGTACAGCTGCTAATACAGTAGCAGGTGTAGCTGCTAATACAGCAGCGGGTGCAGCTGCTAATACAGTAGCAGGTGTAGCTGCTAATACAGCAGCGGGTGCAGCTGCTAATACATTAGCAGGTACAGCTGCTAATACAGTAGCAGGTGTAGCTGCTAATACAGCAGCGGGTGCAGCTGCTAATACAGTAGCAGGTGTAGCTGCTAATACAGCAGCGGGTGCAGCTGCTAATACAGTAGCAGGTACAGCTGCTAATACAGTAGCAGCTGTACCTGCTACTGTATTAGCAGGTACAGCTGCTAATACAGTAGCAGGTACAGCTGCTAATACAGTAGCAGGTGCAGCTGCTAATACAGCAGCGGGTGCAGCTGCTAATACAGTAGCAGGTGTAGCTGCTAATACAGCAGCGGGTGCAGCTGCTAATACAGTAGCAGGTACAGCTGCTAATACAGTAGCAGCTGTACCTGCTACTGTATTAGCAGGTACAGCTGCTAATACAGTAGCAGGTACAGCTGCTAATACAGTAGCAGGTGCAGCTGCTAATACAGCAGCGGGTGCGGCTGCTAATACAGCAGCGGGAGCAGCTGCTAATACAGTAGCAGGTGCAGCTGCTACTGTATTAGCAGGTACAGCTGCTAATACGGTAATACTGCTAATATGGTTTTCTCTTGTGCAATGATCTGTTACGGCTGACTTCTTTATTGTACTTTTTGCTTCTTCTTTTGCTGCTCTTGTGTGTTTACGATTTGCCTCTTTCTCGCACTCCTTTCTGTGTTCTATTGTTCGTGTGTTGAGTTGGCGTCCGGTTTCTCCTATGTATGTTTTATTGCAGAGATGACTCCACATTTAAGTCCAGCTGGTATCTTGTCTTTTGGGTCTGTTTCTAACTGTTGTGTATGGCTTTGTTGGTGTGTTTATGTTGTGTTTTTTCATTGTTGCTCTTATTTTTTCCGTTATGCCTCTGATGTATGGTAGGGTTATCACTGGTTCTGGTTCTTGTCTTTCTGAGTTTCTGGTTCTTTTTTTGGGTTGTTCTTTGCTTTCTGTTTTTGTTTGTCGTTTTCCTTTGTTTATTGCCCATGTCGGGTATCTGCAGGTCTTTTTAATTTATTTAGTTTGATTATATTTATATTTTAATTATCATGCCATACCATATCTGATTTTGTGAAAAACATTGATAAAATGTGTCGTTTAGTTGTGTAAGCACGTTCCTCTGTAGAAATGAATGCACTGGGGCGAAGGAGACCCATCGAAAATGGCGGCCGGCCTCTACATGGGTTTTTTCAACATGCGGCCCACGTTCTGCCCTTCTGCCCCGCCCCAATCTGCGTACTGCAATCAGGGGTATTTGGAATAAACAAACATCTTCACTCACAGGGCAAGTCCACCACGCAGTTACAATTTAATTCCAGCAGATGGCGACAGAGGCTGATAAAAACATGTAATCCAGCTCAGCGATCATTAACCTGCACCTCCAAAACAACATGGCTCATAGTTCATGAGTCAGATAGCTGCTAACGTTCATTTTACTGTCTGTGGGGTAATAAAGTTACACTCCTGTTGTTTATCTGTGTAACGCATTCATTAAACCATCAATGCCAACCAACACACATTCATATAAAGACATCTAGACTGCTGTTTGCATTACTTCTTCACTGTTTTTCCGCCATTTTTTAAAATTATTTTGTCCAAATCGAAAGTTGAGTTCGCAGCTTTGAGTCATTACCCGACTATGCTAATTACTAGAATAAAAACTCGTTTTACATGCTAGTTTAACACAGGTACGGTCAGAAATATCAAGTAAAATGCGCGTTTGGTCTAAAAGTTGAAAGAAATGAAGCTCTCACCAGTCGGTTGGGTTCGGTTCGGTTCGTCACTAAAGTGCTGAGTGAAGAACTGAAAGTAAAAACTAACAGGCTATGTTCAGTCGACAAGAGCTAAAGCTGAAGTTAGTTTCTGCAGAGGGTCCAGGCAAAACGAGCTTCTTCTTCCTGCTGCGTCACATTCTGATAAAAAGTCATTTCAGCAGAAACAAAAGTGAAAGTATCAGCCGGAGCTCGGAGGGCGGCCATGGCTGACGGCTACGCGTACCCTCTCCTGGTCGAGCTGGAAGACAATAACGTATCAAAATTAAAAATAAAGTTGGTCAAGTACTTCCAGAGTAAGAAATCTAATGGCGGAGACTGTGAGGTGGCGCACGAGAGCGGCAGCAGGACGGCGGTGGTGCGCTTCCGCAGAGAGGAGGGTGAGTTTCCCGCAGGCCGGGTTACCAAGTGACGCTAGGGTTAAAACTGCGGGTGGTTGGTTGATTAAGATGCTTTAATAGAGTTGTTCCCCTCACAGACCAGAAGAATGTCCTGGCCAAAGAGACGCATCACATCAGTTTGGAAACAGGACGAGTAAAAATGACCGTTCGGCTTCCGTCGGAGGCGCAAAACCCACAGGTGAGGATAAAGTTAGTTAACCTGGTTTCAATGAGCTATATCTGAAGATTAAAACCTCAAACTATTCAGCTCTCCTCTTGTTTACATGCAGCGTATTGTAGTCATCACGACTGCCTTAGTTAGATTTCTGTTTTTTCATGTTTGTGTATTGTGTTGCTTTATTAAACGTGCGCATGAACAAAGTGCAGATCCTGTAGAAGTGATTTTATTTCAAGTACATTTCCATGTTTTTCTTTTTATTCTACTCATTACGTCACAATTAGATTAAAGCTATCTTTAGGGTCGCAGTGAAAGTGGAACTGAATCATAAATAAATAAAATCTGGGCCAGTTGCTTATTCTATCTTACTGGAAGTCATGTGAACGATCATAAACCCTAGGAGTGGCAGGGTGTTGTTTCTCTGTTAGTTCCTTTTGCACATAACCACCTAACAAATAATGATCAATGAATGTATCTGAGTGATTTTTGACATGAATCTGAAAATAGGCGTGCCTGGAAGGTTCTGAGTCGCGTCTAAAATTGTTTTAACTTGTTTTATACAGGAGGACTCTCCTGATAACGACAAGAATTGTAAGTACAATTAATTCAATTCAATTCAAGTTTATTTATAAAGCACCAAATCACGACAAGAGTCGTCTCAAGGCACTTCAAATAATAAACATTCCAGTTCAGGTCAGTTCATTAAGCCAATCAGAAATAATGTTTACTATATAAGGAACCCAGCAAATTGCATCAAGTCACTGACTAGTGTCAGTGACTTTACAGCAATCCTCATACTAAGCAAGCATATAGCAACAGTGGAGAGGAAAACTCCCTTTTAACAGGAAGAAACCTCCAGAGAATCCTGGCTCAGTATAAGCAGCCATCCTCCACGACTCACTGGGGATCAAGAAGACAGAGCACACACACACACGCACGCACGCACGCACGCACACGCACGCACACACACACACACACACACACACACACACACACACACACACACACACACACAGTCGGCGCATAAAGAACACACCAGAGAAGCAGTGCATTCTGTCAGCAGAAAACCAGACACCAGGCGACCAGCTGCAGAATGAAACTAAGGGAACACACTCCTTCAAACTCAGGCTGTGGCAGATGTGGGAGTCAACACAGCACAGCAAAGGGCAAACAATGCCTAAATTGTGTAAAGATCAAAAACCGCTGCGCAGCCCCATGGCAAAGCCATGCACACCGTGATAGAGGCAAGTGAAGAAGATGAACAAGAGCTTTTCATAGACGGGCTCACATCTGAGAACCCTGGAAAGGACATCGAACAAGCCTATGCAGAGATCAAGGTAAATGCACAGAACATTAAATTCAAAATAGACACAGGTGCACAGACGAATGCCATCCCAGAATACCTTTTCCAACGTAGCTCTAAAACAAGCCACACAGAGACTCACGTCATACGGAGGCGAACAGCTGAAAGTACGAGGCACCTGCAAAATCAGGTGTATGCACAAAGATCGCTCCGCGATGCTGGAATTCCACATAGTCGACCCAAAAGCACCACCCACACTAGAGCCAGCCTAGACCTGAACCTGATCAAATTAATATTAGCAGTTACAAAAGAAGAAGACACACAGGCACTATTATAGGAGTATGTGGGCGTTTTTAAAGGCATCGGCGAATTCCCAGGCGAATGCCACCTTCACGTCAACCCGGATGTTACACCAGTAGCATACCCACCACGCCGCGTCCCCATTGCACTGCGTGACAGGCTCAAGCAAGAGCTCGACAGTATGGGAAAATCCAACATCATTTGCAAAGTGACAGAGCCCACCGACTGGGTGAATGCACTGGTGGTAGTGGAAAAACCACACAGCAACAAGTTAAGGATATGCCTCGACCTGAGGGACCTTAACAGGGCCATACAAAGACCCCACTGCCCACACTAGAAAAATTCACAACAAAACTAGCAGGAGCAAAGTTTTTCAGTGTCTTAGATGCCAGATCTGGATACTGGGCCATGAAACTGAGCCCAGAGTCATCTATGCTGACAACCTTCAACACGCCCTTCGGCAGATACAGATTCCTACGTCTGCCCTTCGGAATTAACTCTGCTCAAGATGAATTTCAAAGGCGAGTGGACGAGACGTACGAAGGCTTACCGGGAGTAACAGCCATAGTCTGCGACAGCTTCTAAAACGAGAAAATGAGTTCACTGGGATCGGCAGCATGAGGACGCATTCACACAGATGAAACATCTAATAACGCATCACCCCGCGCTTGCAGTCTTCGACCCCCAGAAAGAGCTGAGACTCCAGGTCGACGCCTCAAAATCCAGCCTGGGAGCTGTCATGCTCCAAGATGAGAAACCGGTGGCATACGCATCTAAATCACTTCACAGCACATAGGAGAGCTATGCACAAATAGAAAAAGAACTATATGCAGTGCTATTTGGATGCAAACGGTTTCATGAATACATGTACGGCCGCAGAGTGATTGTCGAGTCCGACCACAAGCCGTTGGAAGCTATACTGCACAAACCTTTGGCTGCAGCGCCCCCACGACTCCAGAGGATGATACTGCAACTACAGAGTAATGACATACATATCATCCACCGCCCTGGGAGGGACATACCAGTCAAAGACACCCTGTCACGTAAGTCGATACAGCACCACGATAACAAAATAACAGAAGGTTTGAAAGCGCAGGTACACTCAGTCACTAGGAATCTCCCAGTGAGCTCAGCTAAATTGCAGGAGATCAGAGAAGTAACAACCCAAGACACACAGCTAACCACTCTCAGAAGCATCAATAAATCAGGTTGACCACACGAGAGGAGACAATGCCGGCTCAGCATTCAAGAATACTGGAACCACAGACACGAAATTGCTGAAGCAGGTGGCCTAATGCTCAAAGGTGAGAAAAGAATCATTCCTCACAGCCTCAGAGCTGAGATGATTGACCGCATTCACACCGGGCACATGGGCATAGAGAAGAGCAAGAACCGAGCCTGTGACATCCTTTTCTGGCCTGGCATGGGAAAGCAAATAGAAGCATCTGTGACAAACTGCCAAATATGCCAAGAGCGACGCAACTCCAATGCCAGAGAGCCACTCATCTCACACGCCATCCCCGAGAGACCATGGCAGGTTGTGGGTGTTATTTTCGACTCTGAGCTGACTTTTATTCCCCACATTAAAAACATCACAAAAATAGGTTAAGAATATCGCCAGGGTCCGCCCCATTCTCTCTCGGGCCAGTACGGAGACGCTAATGCACATATGTCAGACTCAAGGCCCGTGGGCCAGATGCGGCCCGCGGAGAATTTTTATGTGGCCCGCAAGATAAATATCAAAAATATATTAAAACTGGCCCGCTGGCCGATTTTACCGCAAAGACTTCAACTCCCATGATGCTTTGCTACGTCAGCGCGGAGCCGACGCTCCCCTCCTTTGTGTTTTTTCCAGCGCCTGCTGCCGGTGTCTGCAGCTCCGCTGTCTCAGACAAACTACACTCCTCTCACTCAGCGCCGAGTTTACTCAGCTATTTTCTGACGTTGAAGCCCAGAAACGGAGATTCTAGCCGCTCAGTAATGTGTTCACGACTGAAAGAGAAAGTTTTCCAACTAACGTCCAGACAGAGCTGATATAACTCCAGCGAGCAGCGACACGCTCAAACCAGCACGGCTCTGTGGCTGCTGTAGTTGTTATTTTTCCTCCCCGACACACAACAACGTGGTCAAGCTGCTCAGACATGTTCATCAGCACAAACCTATGTGAGCACCTGTTGTCATCTAATGTTGTCATTATTATGATGAAGATGAACAAAACAACAGGAGTCTCCTCCTCAGCTCAGATCAACCCCATGATGCAGGTATCTGGCTGGAACAGGTGAGCATCACAGTAAACCAGTGGAGCAAACTGAGCTTTAAATATGTTGGTTTGATGCTCTTTTTCTGCTCCAAAACATGAAAGTTAACAGGTGAGATGTTGCATTTTCATTTAAGATAAAATGATATTTTATTTTGTTGTTGGCCCGTGAGAAAAGATTTAAAAGATTTAAAGATTTTAAAGATTTTAAAAATGATGATTATACCACAAGTAATGAATACCACTGGTGTGTTTTATTTCAAACTGACTTGCTCGTGTGTGATTTGGTTATTCCACATTCAGTGTTAATGCAGAAATAAGTTTGTTTCCAAATTTAAAGGTTCAAAATTGCATACATGTTGATAAAGAAAATGTGCAAATTTGCCGTCACTTTTTCAAAAAACATTAAGTTTGGCCCTCGACTCCGTCCCAGAGTTTCATTTCGGCCCCGTGTGAGTTTGAGTTTGACACCCCTGCTCTAATGCATGCTTTCATAACCAGTAGAATTGATTACTGCAATGCCCTGCTTTCTGGTCTTCCCAAAAAGAGCATCTCAGGTTTACAACTTGTACAAAACTCAGCAGCACATGTCCTGATGAAGACCAGGAAGCGGGAGCACATCACTCCAGTTTTAGAATCACTGCACTGGCTCCCCGTATGTTTCAGGATTGATTTTAAGGTTCTTTTAATGGTTTTTAGGTGTCTTAATGGTCTTGGGCCTTCTTATCTTTCAGAACTGCTTTTACTATATAAACCCTCGCGGTCTCTGCGCTCCCCTGGCAGCCGTCTCCTAGTTATCCCTAAAGTTAAGACTCACACCCACGGCGAGGCGTCCCCCAAGTATTACGGCCCTCGCCTTTGGAACGGGCTGCCGGAGGACCTCAGGGCCGAAGGGAACGTCCAGGCTTTTAAGAAAAGGCTCAAGACCCACCTTTTCAGCTTAGCTTTTAACTGATTACTATTTATCTAGTCTGTTTAACTGTATCACCTGTCATATTTGTTTATTTATATATACCTATTTATCTCTTTTACTTAATGTTATTATTTTATTTACATCTTAGTGTTTTTATATGATTATGTTTTCTTTTACTATCTTTATAATCACTTTTTATCAGTTACTTTCTATCCATATTAGCTTTTGTTATTTTACATGTTATATATTTTAATCCTCCAGTGTTTCCTCAGCGGAGCCCTCTGCCTTGGGGCCGGTGGTCGGCGGCGGCGGCGGCCGGGGCGCTCCTCGGGTAGTGCCCGGGCAGTGGTGGGGGGTCTCCGCCCTCCCTCCCTGGGCGTCATGGGCCGGTGTCTTGGCTGCTGCCGTGGATCTGTTGCTGTCAAGGCAGACGGCTCCGCTGATGATGTGTCGTCCATTACCTGACCCATCTGAACTCAGCCTATTGTTCACTCTGTTGTTCACAAGTGTGTGTGTGCGTGTGCGAGTCTACGTTCACCTTGGAAATTGGTTGCGGGAGGGGAACTGCAATTGTCAATTGTTTTATACTTGGGGAGGGGGGCTGGGATGGGAATATGGGACCTATGGGGCCATTTTAATCTGTGAAGCACTTTGAGTTGTGTTTTTTTTGTATGAAAAGTGCTGTATAAATAAAGTTGATTTGATTTGACCTGTTTACGTGGAACTCGCATGATTTCATCATCCTTGTAGACTACCACAGTAGATACTTCGAGATGGAAAAACTTACCAACTGCACATCAGCTGCTGTCATCTCAAAATGCAAGGCTTCATTCGCACGCCATAGTATCCCAGACACAGTAATTAGCGACAACGGACCATGCTACAGCTCCATAGAGTTTTGTACCTTCTCAGAGGAATGGGATTTTGAGCATGTCACTTAGAGTCCACACTATCCCCAGAGTAATGTCCTCGCCGAAAGAACAGTGCAGACAGCCAAATGCATCCTTGACAAGGCCAAAGCCGAAAGAAAGGACCACTATCTGTTCCTGCTGGAGCACAGAAACACCCCAGTGGACAACCTGGGATCCCCTGCGCATCTCCTGATGAGCCGCAGACTCCGCTCAAAACTCGCCACAACCACGAAGCAGCTGAAACCACGCATAATACGCCAAGAGGTTGTATACGGCAGGAGAAAGGCATGCCAACGCCGCCAGCAGATATACTATAACCGATCTGCAAGACCACTTACACACCTACCTGTTGGCGCACCTATCCGTTTCCTTAACAAAGGAAGGTGGAGGCCGGCAACAGTAACAAAGCTGGCCAACACCCAAAGGAGCTACCACATCCAAACAAGTGGACAAGTGCTTCAGTGTAACAGGCGACACTTACATGAGAACAAGGAGGATCCAACCATGACAAGCACACAAAACAAGCACAGGAGCCCAAAAGACACACACACTGCTAACAAGCCACAACATATGCATGAAAACAGCACACAGCAACCTCATTCCGAGCCCATGAACTTTGTGCCACCAGATGAACAGACCCATGGTTACACAACGAGGTTTGGTCACACCATCAAGCCAAGACAAGTCCTAGACTTGTAATTATTGTAAAGGGTGCAGGCGGATCGCTGCCCTAAAAAAAAATGTAAACATGCTGGACATTCTATACAGTTTTGCAATGTTTCTGTTGTTGCCGAGTATGGCATGAGAAGCCCACATACCGATAGGAGTGTCATGACGTTTACTGGCTCACCTGACGGTGACATGCTAAAGGTTGGTTTATGCTTGACACGTCCGCGAGGTCCGCGCGGCTCTGCGCGGCGAAATTGCATAATTTTCACAACCACGCCCCTCCACCGCACCTCCGCACAGCCCAAAATTTCCACAACGTGCACCTAGGAAATTTTCTAACCACGCGGACGGTCGGACGCGGAAAAACATGGCGGACTGGCAAGAACTAGTATGGCAGAGGTTCGTAAATACAGACATTTGTATGATTCAGCTCTCAGAGATCACCGTGATCAACATGTTGTTAATAATTCTTGGAGAGAAATAGCTCGCACTGTCGGAAAAGACGAGGACGCTGTTAAAAATGCTGGAATGCCATGTTGTAAACAGTAATTTTTACTTCTACTAAGGTGTAGTGTTGGATGCACGCCGTAGAGCTCCATGCTGCCCCCTACAGTTTGGGAGAATATTGGCTCACCGCAGAGACGAGCCGCATGAACCATAAACGCTGGAATTTGTGAAGCGCGTTCCATCCGCGAGCCGCATCACCAAGCGGAAAGTGAATGCGTCAAACATAAATCAAGCTTTAGTCCATTCAAAGATATCTATCATTTAATGTTAAGTTTACTCACAGTAAGACGAGTTAAAATGTCTGCTAGTTATTTACACAAGGATCATTCCTAATGTGCAGTCACTGCTACTCAAAAGAAGGGAGATGTAACAGCCTGGCCATTCGGGCCACCGTAGTGTGAGAAGACAAACTCACGTGAGATTGGTATGCAGAGGGAGAAGAAAGATGGCTGAATAAAGAACAGACTAAGACCAGGCTTCGTCATAATTAACGATCATTCTTATGCTTGGGTTATGCTTGATGCATTCACTTTCCGCTTGGTGATGCGGCTCGCAGATGGAACGCACTTCACAACTCGCAGCGTTTATGGTTCATGCGGCTCGTCTCTGCGGTGAGCCAATATTCTCCCAAACTGTAGGGGGCAGCATGGAGCTCTACGGCATGCATCCAACACTACACCATAGTAGAAGTAAAAATTACTGTTTACAACATGGCATTCCAGCATTTTTAACAGCGTCCTCGTCTTTTCCGACAGTGCGAGCTATTTCTCTCCAAGAATTATTAACAACATGTTGATCACGGTGATCTCTGAGAGCTGAATCATACAAATGTCTGTATTTACAAACCTCTGCCATACTAGTTCTTGCCAGTCCGCCATGTTTTTCCACTTCCGACCGTCCACGTGGTTAGAAAATTTCCTAGGTGCGCGATGCGGAAAGTTTGGGCAGTGCAGAGGCGCGGTGGAGGGGCGTGGTTGTTAAAATGACGCAATTTTGCCGCGTGAACCTCGCGGGCGCGTCAAGCATAAACCAACCTTTACTCATCCATATGAGAAGATACAACAGTGGCAGATTCCATTTCAATTTAGCTTCTTCCTTCTTTGAATTTGCTTAATTTTATCTGCTTTTAATAAAATCAACTACATGAAGTTAAATGAACACTTTAGTAAATTTTTGGTAAATGCCATGGGGAATATGTCATCATCACTTATTCAGATTTTATATCTCACCAGCAGCAAAAGTTTCAGTGATCAACAAGCAGCCAACAGCAGCTGAGCGCAAACCTGCAGATGGCTTTAAGGCAGAAGACGAAGACACAGCAGATGGAGAGCCATGCTCCACTTCGGCTGTTATTGAGAATATTCCTGAAACGTTAAACAAGGAATACCTGGAAATGCTAGTAGAGAACATTTTAAAGGATTTGAGCTCTTCAGCTGCCTCCAGGTTTACTCTGGAGATCATTCCTGACATCTCATGTGCCGTTGCCACTTTCCAAAATGAGAAAGGTACTAACTCAGTTTACAGTAAACATTTTAAAATCAAACAATCCAAATTAAATTGTACCTAAATGAAACACTTTTCTATTGTTTCACAGATAAAACCAAGTTCATAGCAAAATGTCCTCAAAACAGGATGTTTACAAGGAAGAACTTGTCTGTCCGACCTCTTGAAGTCACCACTCGGGTTTTAGTCGAAGGCCTTTCTAACATCGACACAGACGTACTTCAGCTCTACTTTGAGAATAAAGGTGGAGAGGTGGAAGATGTCAAACTGACAGATGCTGAGCAGTCTGCTGTCATTACATTTACCAACCGCCTAGGTATTCAGCTGCACCATAGTTTAAAGCTTCTTTCCGGAGTATTTCTCTTATCCGATGGCACCATCACACTCAGTTTTTTTAAGATGGCGACTTCACGTTTCTGTTTATAAATGTGCTTCTGTAGCCGACAAACAGCTAAAACACGTTGTTTTACAGGTATTATTCTCATCTCATCTTGTGTTCCCATATATTTATATTTTAGAGACTTAATTGTCCGTGAAAAGTTGATCAACTCTGCATCAGCTGAGGTATTCCTTAAATTTGAAGCAAGTAAGCGGTAGTCTAAAGGTATTGGTTAGTTCTGGTCGGCGCTCAGTTTCCTATTGCACGGAGCTCTGCGGGGCAGGGGGCGTGCTTAGCAAAAAAATAAAACGTATTGCACATTATATCACAGTACATGATAAGATAATCAGTTTTACAGATTTCTGACCAATCATACATAATTTCTGAAAGAGGAAAACTCCGGAAAGATGCTTTAAGTTTTAACATTCAAATGCTGTTATTCACAAAAATCACTTCTTCTTTCTTTTAGCTGTTAAGAAAGTCCTGGAAAGGAGGCATAATATAAGAGAGGAAGAAGTGAAAGTCTATCCATTTTATGAGTCTTTGGAAGCAGCTCTTTATGGGGATGACACGCCTTCACCAAAACTCCCTGCTGGCATTTCAGAACTCGTTGAGGTTGCCTTACTTAGATACCTAACTACAAACAAAATGGCAGTGGACGTGGTTCGTCGTGACATGGCAAAACACTTCTGCGATGTGAACCTAGTCAAGTCTGCCGTGCGCCTGAGTCCTGTGTCATCCTTGCTAAAGGAGAAGAACGCCAAAGCCATCATCAAAGAGTGGGCAGATACTGTCAAGTCAGCATTTGCACAATCCATGTCAAAATTCAAATCTTTAAAGCTTCCCTTGGAGTCAGAAGTTTGGAACAAGTCTGAAGAGAAAATCAGACAAACACTTGAGAATGAAGATGTGGTTGTAGTACCTGATAAAGCCACTGGTGTTCTGTCAGTGGCTGGCCTTGTGGATGATGTCAGCAGACTGGAGAATCCACTTTCAGAAATCCTTAAAATAACCGAGCTAAGAGTGCAAAGGGAGAAATCAAGCAAAACCCAGGACATCAAAGTTTTGCCATCTATTTACCACATTCTTTCTCAAGATGGTATCCAGAACAAGCTCTTGCAAGTGTATCCAGAGCTCAAAGTGTCATATGACAAACAGACAATGGCTCTGAAAGTAACTGGCTTTGTGGATGAGATTTTGGGTGCAAGCAACATGATAAATCAAGCAATGCTTGCATTAAGACGTCAGAATTTAGAGTTAGGTACACATTTGTTTGACATGTTAAGAGATGAAAATCAAGAGGAGATTACAGATAATCTTCTGACAGCTTACGCCATAAATGCGGCCCTAGAGATCAGTCCACAAAGGCTGCAGCTCGTTGCTGTTGCTGATGACGATCTAGTAGCTGCTGAGGATCATTTGAAGCAGCATCTGATTTCTAAGGAAGTTGTTGTTGAAGACAGTGAGGTCCTTAAGCTGCCAGAGTGGCAGCAGCTGGTCAGTCGGTTGGAGAAAGCCAACAGTAAGTCTGGTGGTAGAATTCAAATTAATACCACCCACCAACAAGTCATAGTGTCTGGTCACAAGGATAGTGTCATCAGTGTTAGTGATGAACTAGACGAGTTTTTAACTGAGAATGCTCACACTGAAGAAGTTGTTGCTGTTAGGGCGAATGTCATCATTGAATACCTTAAATCTCAAGCGTCCTGGTTGGAGATATTTGAAGGCAATGTGTGTGTGTCTTTGTCTTATGCAAAGGAGGCCATCATTGTCAGTGGTCCTAGGGCGGCTGTACAAAGCAGTAGGGTCATCATGGAAGGTATAGTCAATTCTGTGGACTTGGATTCTCTTAAAGTTGAAAAACCAGGAGTAAAGAAGTTCTTTAGGAGTAAAGAATCCATGTATGTTTCCTTAATCAAGAACGAAACTGACTGCTTGGTGAAACTTGTTGATGAGGTTGGTGAAGAACAAGACGGCTTTGCCTTTGTACAAGTACACACACCAGTTTACCAAATTCAGACTGCAGATGGAGTTGAAATAGCAGTTTTTAAGGCAGATATGTGCACTTATCCAGTTGATGCAGTGGTCAGTCCTTCAAACGAGGACTTGAAACATAGCGGAGGTCTTGCAGGAGCGCTGTTCAAAGCTGGTGGTCCTCAATTACAAAATGAATGTGACAAATTAATCAGTATGAAAGGAAAACTGAAACCTGGTGAAAGCCTCATAACTGATGCTAGTGGGCAGCTTTATTGCAAAAAGGTCATCCATACCTTTGGGCCAACTTTTGATCAAGCCAAAGCTGCAAAGTCCGAGGCAAAGCTGAAAAGAGCAGTTAAAGGAAGCTTAGAGCTCGCTGAAAGTATTGGCTGCTTTTCGGTGGCTCTTCCTGCCATCAGCAGAAACCAAGGTTTCCCCCTCAATCTGTGCTTATCGACTATCGTCAATGCAGTGAAGGAGTACTGTGATGAGAGATATGAGGACAGCACATTGAAGAAGATACATCTGGTTGACAACGATGACAATGTTATTCTGGCAATGGAAAGTGCCGTCAAACAGCTGTTTGGAAATCAGGGTGTTAGCCTTCCGCAACAGATACCTCCCAACAGAGTGAACAAACTTCCACCAGTGCAACCTGGTGAATCGGACTACTTGTGTCATGTGAAAACCAAAGAGGGCTTGGACATTGTTCTAAAAAAAGGAAACATTGAAGCTGCCAAGGTAAAGTTTGATTTCTTATTTTATAACTGAAATACATTGAATGATTGCACGATGTTAAAACTGATATCTAAATGAACATTTTGAAGTGTTCTTGTTTAAAAGTGATAGAGAAGAACCACCTGACCTTTTATAAATGTGTTCTTAAACAGCTTTTAAAACTAAACAAAAATTACAAAGATTAATGGGAATGAACTCCAAGTTCAAAATGTTAAAAAAACAAACTAATACATGCCTGGGGATTGAGCTACTTCCTGATTTCCTCTTATGTCACTGATTTGGAGTTGCATGCCATTTTCAGACGGACGTGATTGTGAACACAGTGTTTGAAGATCTGGCATTAAATAAAGGGGCCGTTTCCACGGCCATCTTTAATGTGGCTGGACCCAAGCTCCAACAGCTCGTGTCTGACCAGAAATCGGTGGGAATACCTGGTGACATCATAGTTACTGAAAGCTGCAAGTTGAAGAGCAAACAAGTGTTCCATGTAGTTGCTCCTCACATGAACAACGATCAGGCTTCAGCTGGAAAGGTAAGCCCTACAACATGTAGCATACGTATGTTAAATGGTATGTTTTTAGCCATGACTTACAGAACAGATGTACTTGGATATTCATTTATATTTTGCTTCCAGATATTAGGCGGGATCTTTAAAGATTGTTTGGACATGGCAGAGAATGCACGACTGGCCTCCATATCTTTCCCAGCTATTGGTACTGGAAACTTGGGTTTTCCGAAGGACATCGTTGCTTCTTTGATGCTGAATAACATTTCAGACTTTAGCAGCCAAACACAACCTAAGCACCTGAAGAAGGTTGCAATCATTCTTTACCCCAAGGATGCACAAACTATACAGGTAAACACAACAACCTTTAACACAATGTACTCGGACAACATGACCCTGTACAATTTACCAATAAGAAGTGTCAAATACATAACCTTTGAATCAAATGTAGCTCTTTTTTGTCTGTGTCAATCTGCGCCAAGAATATGAACTCAAGCTCAGAGAATCCAGTTAAAATTTCAAAAGGAACATCATAATCAGTAGCTTGGCAAGCCATCCTATATATAAAAATTCCCATCTCGCCCTCCGCGGGTGGTCTCATCCTTCCAAGCTCGGGTCCTGTACCAGAGGCCTGGGAGCTTGAGGGTTCTGCAGTATCTCAGCTGATCCTAGATCTGCACTTGTCTGGACAGAGATGTCTGATGTTGTTCCTGGGATCTGCTTTAGCCACTCCTCCAGTTTGGGGAGTACCCCGATGACCACGGTCACCATCAGTGTCTTCACTCTCCAGGCTTTCTCAAGTTCTTCCTTGAGGCCCTGGTACTTCTCTAGGTTCTCGTGTTCCTCTCTCCTGATGTTGCATCGCTTGTTATCGCCACATCAACCACAACGGCTGTCTTCTGTTGTTTTATCCACCACCACAATAGTTGGTTCACCATCACCATGTTGTCAGTCTGAATCTGGAAGTCCCACAGGAGCTTTGCTCTCTAGTTCTCTACCACCTTAGGGGTGTTACCCACTTTGACCTTGGGGCTTCCAGTCCATACTCTGCAGAAGTTCCTGTACACGATGCCAGCCACTTGGTCATGGCGTTCCATGTACGCTTTCCCTGCCAGCATCTTCCACCCTGCAGGTATGTGGTGGATTGTCTCAGGGGCCTCTTCGCCTAGCCTACAGCTTGGGTCTTGTCTGGTGTGGTAGATCTTGGCCTCTGTTGCTCTGGTGTTCAGGGCCTGTTCCTGTGCAGCCATGATGAGTGCCTCTGTGCTGTCCTTCAGACCAGCTCCTTCTAGCCATTGGTAGGATTTCTTGATATCAGCCACTTCAGTTATCTGTTGGTGGTACATCCCATGTAGGGTTTTGTCCTCCTATGATGGTTTTTCCAGCGTCTCCTCCTCTGGTAGCTATTGTCTGAGATGTTCACTGAACACATTATTTGTTGGGTCATGTCCTTGATGTACTTCTAGATCTTGGATGCTTCATCCTGGACAGTGGCTCTCACTATATATTAAATACGTTCACTATGTCTTCGTTATAAATTAAATTACTTATTGTCTTTTAATGAGACAAACGTTGTGGCCTTAAAGATGTTTTTTCATACATGCTGACTGTTTCGACTGAAGGCTTCAGCCTAAATGTGTTTAAACAATTGTTGCACACTTTCTGTAAATCCTATAAACGTTGTTTCACTTCTCAAATGTCACTGTGTGTGTCTCCTACATGATATATTTACCTGAAAATTTTTATCGTAACAACCAACGATTTATACAGGAAAAGCTTTATGATTAGCAAGGCTGCCCAAACTTTCGTATCCCACTGTATACATATTTATTACTCTGGCCACATGTCTAGATTTCTGGGCTACTAAATTAGCATATGAATTCAGGGTGTGTGTGCTATGTTTTAGCATTTATCTTAATAATATCATAATGTTTTCTTTTTAGGAATTCATTAAAGAATTCATGCAGAAGTTTCCCAATGCTTCTGGTGGTTTGGTTTCCAAAAGCCCCTCACAGAGTACAGGTAGACCAAAGTCCTTTTTGTCCACATTCTTTCAGTTTGTGGTGAATTTTTCTGTAGGAATTCAGACAGAAATTATTATAAACACAGGAAGGAAAATGTATTACAGCAACAGGCAACCCATCCGCTTGTTTTTTTAATAGTACAACTAGATCACACCAATTTTTCTCAACAAGCTTTTTATGCAATTTCAACATTCCCACCACCAGCAGGATCCTTCTCTAAAGTCGTATCCACGTCGGGAATGCAGGAAGCAAAAATGGGAAATGTGACTGTGCAAGTATCATCAGGAGATATAACCAAGGAGACCACTGACGTCATTGTCAACTCGTCAAATGAAGACTTTTCTCTTAAGTCAGGTAAATCTGGAAGATTTCTTACCAAGTCAGTATTTTCACGATTCATACCCAAAACCTCTACATTGTTTGTAAAACACTGATGGATTAAATAAGAAAAATGACACGTTGGAGGTGAATCAAACATCAGTGGAATATTTTATAGTGTAAAGCCGCTCAAAAACTGTAAATGGCGAGATTAGCAGAATTAGTGAAATTTAAATTTAAAGTTCTTCTATTTCCTTCCTAAGGAGTTTCTAAGGCCATTTTGGATGCAGCTGGTGCAGCTGTTGAAGTAGAATGCCAAAACCTTGGTAAGAACAAAGCTTTATGTCACCTCAATGAAAACGGCCTCTTACTATACTCTCAAGGTTTTCTTGGTTGGCGGTAACCTCAATGCCGGGTTGATGGTTATGCCTGTAACCCCTGACAAAGATTTTTCCAAAAGGAAGTGATCAGGAAAGAATCCAAAGTTATTCAGATCCACTCTCCACACCCTCAGGTTCTCAGACCAATCCAGGCATGATAATGACACAGCCAGGTAACCTGAAATGTAAGAAGATCCTGCACCTGGTTGGTCAGACGGACCCTGTAAAAATCAACAGAGTTGTGAAGGAAGCGCTCCAAATGTGTGTGAAACACTCCCACACCTCTGTGTCTTTTCCTGCTATTGGCACAGGTGAGCATTACTGAGGTTTGTTCAGAACAATTAATAAAAAGGATGATTTTCCTGTATTTTTTATGCTAATTTCTATGATTTGGGGCAGGATTTGCCAAACATGAATTGACACATTTGAGGTGGAGATTTAAGACATTGCATTAATTTTCCAAGCTAGTTGATTAGTTTAGAATTGCCGTTAACACAAAACAATGTTATCGCTCTAGCACTGCATAAAAAACTTTATTACTAGACTAATCTGATTGTATTTATTTCAAATTCAGTTTAAATATGATCAAACAACAAGCTAGGGCTGAGTATCCACTGGCTCCCATCTAGCTCTAGAACCGGTTTGGTGGGGAAAACAAAAAAATCATGTTGTGTTTTTAGCAGCCTTGGCTTACCGTAGATGAGAAAATCCTTCCTTTTTCTTATTCCATAATAAACGCGAGATGAACAAAAACATAAAATGACAGAAATATTTCTCCTCCTAATTCAAAAATGATACAGTTTAACAAATGCATGGAAATTGGGCTTTTTTACTTAGTTTGAAATGAATTTTCTTGAATTGTTCTGTTTAATGGCTCATTTGAATGTTCCATGTTGTACATTTTTAGGGCAAGGAAATGTCCAGGCGAAGCAGGTGGCAGATGCCATGTTGGATGCAGTGATTGATGTGCTGAAGCAGAACCCCACCAGTACCCTGACTTTAGTGCGGATAGTGATTTTCCAGCAGCCAATGCTGAACGATTTCTACCGCAGCATGCAGGAAAAAGAAGCCTCTGACCCAAAGGATAAAGTGGGATTCTGGGGAAGGGTGAAATGTAAATATGGAAAATAAAATTGATCGAGAATTCGTTTTTGTAATCATTTATATTTTTAATTAAAAATAATGTTCATATGTCATTCACAGCATTCTTTGTTGGAAGCACAGAAACTGAAAGAGAGGAGGATTTTGTCATTGATGAAGTCAAAATGGACCCAGCCTGTTTCCACATCTGTGGTGACTCACCAGCTAAAGTCAAAGACGCCAAGCAGAAGCTACTTGACTTAATATCTGATGAACAACACTCTCACACAATTTCAGACGACTCTATCTTAAGCTTCTCTCCTGCAGACCGTCAGCAAATTGCAGCCATCCAAAAGAAGCTGGGTGTGAGCATAAAAACTGACAACAAGAACGGGGAAGCCTCAATCATCATTGAAGGCCTCAACAGGGATGTCCTGAAAGCCCACACTGAGATTGATCGCATGCTCAAGAAGGTGAAAGATGAGCAGGGGACGAAGCAGAAAGTGGAATTAACAAGCAACCTGGTAGAATGGCAGTATCAGCGCCAGGGGCTCCAGTTTCACAGTTTTGACGTGTTGACCAACTACCAGCTTGAGCAAGCAATGGAGAACAATCAGCCAAACATAAAAGTAATGATCCGAGGTCAAACCTACACCGTGACCTTACCCAACGGACCAGCCACTGATGGCAAGAAAAACACACTGCAGATTAGGCGACTTGACAAACTAAAAGGTAATCCACACCTCAGGTCTAGATTAAGACATGCACATTTACGAATGTTTTTCTAGCATCCTCACTTCACGCATTTACAAGCCAAAAATTAAATATCAAAAACAATTCCATGTTTCCATTTGCAGGTAATGATATTCCTGACTTTTGGGATCCCATACCACCCGGCACCACCTGCCTATCTGTTCCAATCCAGGCGGGAACACCAGAGTACACCGAAGTCCAGAATCAGTTCAAGGCCACATGCAATCGAAGCATTTCCAAGGTATTGAAACTGTGTTGTAGGCTTTAGCTGCAGCTAGTTTCTGATGTAGTTGACAGAAAATGATTAATGCATTAATGTACAAAGTGGAATGTTTCTGACCCTAGATTGAGAGGATCCAGAATCCTACTCTGTGGAAGGGTCTACAAATAAAAAAACAAGAGATGGAGGTGAGAAATGGCCACCAGAATAACGAGAAGCGCCTCTTCCATGGCACCTCTGAAACCACTGTGCGCACCATCAACGAACATGGCTTCAACAGGAGTTATGCAGGATTGAACGGTGAGACAAACTGTTTCAAGCAGTCTTTGTCCATGTAGGAGTTTATACAGGTGAGACTCAGAAAATTTGGATAATTTATTTCAACAATTCAACTTAATAGTTGAATCTATTGAATGAGATATTCATTCCCCACAGTCAGATATTTCAAGATGTTGTTTGTTCTACTGAGACTGCTGTGTGTTTCTCGGTCAGCTCAGAATGGAAAATGCACAGATTACCCAGATGTGAACACAAATAAGCTACCTGGCCTGGTCCATTCTGGCCCAAAGTGGCTATTGTGTCACACTGTAATCAGCTAATGAACCCAAAATACCAGCAAAGGGTTCCTGAGCCTTTAAATGGTCTCTCAGTCTAAGTTTCAGAGTTTCACCTGTAATAGAGAAAACAACCACTAATGTTTGATGCACCAATACTAGGGCTGCTCAATTAATCGAATTTTAATCCCAATTACGATCTGCGTTGTGAGCGATTATAAAAACAAAACAAGCCGATTATTTGCTCCTCCCACTTGCGCTGCCCTGAGTTGCAAATGAAGCGCTCCTCTCACAGTGTTGCTAACTTAGCGACTTTGACGCTATTTCTAGCAGCTTTTCAGACCCCCTTCTTGACATTTTAAATGTTAAAAGTACCTAGCGAACACCTCAGAAACATCTCTGGTAACCCTTAGCTACTTTCTGGATAACTGTCGTCGACGTTTCCTGCAGGTTAGCTAAACACTCCGCCTACACTCCGGACCGTTCTTCAGGACATTAGGAAAGGGAATGATGTAGTGATGTGTCAGTGGCTAAAGACACAGCTCTCAGAGCCGGCTCCCTGTTGGATTAACCAGAGTGAGTGACACACACACCGCACCTGCGGGCTCCTGAGCCGCTAAAAACAGCTAAATGTGCGCGTGCGGCGCGCTAAACACACGTGCAGCTTGCCCCTGATTGCTGTGAGACCGGGTTGGGGGGTGGGGGGTGCAGCTGTGGTTGGGACAATTATTACATTAACTGATGGACTTGTAAATAAATAGTTTATAAATAAGGTAGAAATAAGTTCCTCACACTGATAACTAATAACTAATCTCTCTGAGGACACGGTGCTAGTGCACGCTCCTACAGCACCTTGACACGACTCAATAAATGTTATGCAACATTTAGTGAACATCAATTTATTTGCATGTATTTGTTATAAATGCCACTGTATAATTCTTGCTGTCAGTATTTGCAAGATATTGGTATTTGGTTCTGTACTGGTTAGACTTAAATGAGTTAAACCAAGGTCTATAGCCCTTGGGTCATAGACTATGAGCTATAAGTATATTGGTCTTTTTATACTGGGAATCAGGAGTTCTTTTAGTGATCATCTTGTTTCTTATTTATTGTTGTCCTGATTGTGCCCTGAGCAATTTTATGACTGAATAAAAACAAATAAAATCAACATAAATTGAAAAATCGTCTTAAATAATCGAGATCTCAATTTCAGTCACAATAATCGTGATTATTATTTTTGCCGTAATCGAGCAGCCCTAACCAATACCATGCCTACAGTCGAGTACTTGCCAATACTGGGTACTGATAGAGTATTACCAAATGCTGGTGACTTAGACAAGGTGCTTTACAGCCTAATGGTCATTCACTCATGCATGCACACTCTCACACACTGGTGGTGGTGGTAAAGGGCCTGTATTTGTATAGCGCAGTCATGAGCCTGATCTCTCCGTCTGCGTCAGTGCACAGACACGCAACGCCATTATGCGTCGGTGCAAGCGTTCTCCGACAACCTCGCAGACGGTGACGGAGACGTGCCCAAAATTTTAAACATTAATTGAAAGCAACGAAGACCGCAAGTGATGATTGAATGTGATTGGTCAAGATGCCGCTTCCTCTAAATTTGTCAATAGCACCGCTATTTCCCATTTATAAAGTGAAAAGGTAACTAGCGGCATACCCAGAACAGACTGAAGAATGCGTCGTGGAAAGTCCGAAAATATAAATGTTTATTCATCCCTTGCTGAGCCTGAGGGAGTTCAAAATACGGAGCAAACGTGGACAGAAATGATGGAAAACGCGGGTTTCGAGGTAGAGCATGGTGGACAAATTTGTTTGTGTTATGAAGTCTCTAAAATATATAAACACATTAGAAAACACACTATCGTGGACCGGATACATGAGCGTTATGGTGGCACAGAAAAGTGCTACGCCCTCTGTTGTCCTGGTGGGGAATTGCTTTGCCGCACTCCCCAGGTGGCGGACAAGTCCGAGAGAAAATCGTTCGTCAATGCGTGTGCGTCTCTCCCTGGAGGAGGAGTATAAATCAGGCTTTAGGGTTCCACAACCCCCCAAGGTGCTTCAATAGTCATCCACACATTCACACGCTGGGGAGGATGGGCTACATTGTAGCCGCAGCTGGCCTGGGGCTAACTGACAGAAGTCAGGCTGCCATTCACAGTGGGTGCCATTGGTTGCTACCAACCACCACCATCAGGCATGGCAGGTGGAGTGTCTTAACCAAGGAATGACTGTGACAGATTGGGCGGGGCTCGAACCTGCAACCCTCCGGTTACGGGGCAGGAACGTAACTGACTTACCTCGTTTACTCGAGTTTCCTACAGAGGATGTTTCCTGCTACAACTCAGCTGAGAGAAAAGCATCACAAAATCTAAAGTACTATTGGCTTCTGTTGCTTCAGAGTACTTTTACAAGTATTTGTACATGACTAATGGTACAATACCCAAATGCAGACATCAGTATCTGTGCATTTCTGCTTTCACATTATTGTACTTTATTATATTTAACAGATTTATGATACTTAGACTTGGGATTCCTTAAAATAATGCACATTAGCCATTGTGACTGTCTTGATCTCCTAATATTACAACATTGTTCACATTCCAGGGTTTGACTCAGTGACCTTGTGTGTTTTCTGTTTTCAGCTACTTGTTATGGCAAGGGGTCCTACTTTGCAGTGACGGCCAGTTACTCTTCCCAAGACACCTACTCCAGACCCAATGGAAAGGGGGAGAAGTTCATGTACCTCTGCCGAGTGCTGACCGGGGACGCCACCCTCGGACAACAAAACTTGATCGCTCCTCCTTCCAAACAAGCCACGTCCTCTAACTTGTATGACAGTGTTGTTGACCAAATGCCAAACCCGAGCATGTATGTAGTCTTTCATGACATCCAGGCCTATCCTGAGTATCTGATTACATTCACGTAAAACAGAAAAGCACACACTGTGGATAAAAACAAGTGTCTTACAACCTTTTTTGATAATTCCAGATAGTTCATGTACTTAGAGAATTTTCCTGTTCACGTTGCACGCCGTTTACATTAATAACTCGTTTAGTGCCTTGAAACTATCCGAGAACACCTTACAGTTGGATCATGCAAGCAGACGTCAGCAGATGAAGGAGCTGCTACAGCTGTTCTCACCAGCTAGGGTGATTCCTAGGGGATTTAGCAAGTTCTGCCGTTATCTTTGTTTCATTTGACCAGCTGTCCTTAAGATTTAAAATCAAAAGTAACTCACTTGAGTAAATACAATTAAACAAGCCTGTAACGTCCACAAGCACAAGCTATTTCCAAAAGCTTATCTCCAAGAACTTCACTAGTATTTTTAGTAGGGATGTTCCGATCACATTTTTTGGCTCCCGACCCGATTCCGAGTCATTTGATTTTGAGTATCTGCCGATACCGAGTCCCGATCCGATACTTCAGCAATACAATAAAATAGCAAGAAAAAAGGGAGACTGCACCCAAATTGACCTGTTAGGTTTTTATTATTATTATTTATATGACGGCATCCAACATGATACCATAAGAAAGTAGAAACATTTTGTTAGTGCAGCAGCACTTCAAACCAAGTAAACAAAATTATATCTTTGTAGCTTATCAGTGGTGCAACAATATGTAAACAAATTTGTTTTTATAGAAAAGTAGAAAAGGTTTGTAAAATAACTCAACACAATAATAGAAGTTAAATTAAAGTGCTTACCTCCACCTCTAAGAGGTAGTTGCATAATTCAGTCAGGTAACAAAATAAAATACATCTTAGGCCTTTAGACTGACTAGTTTATTAAAACGAACAAAAGATATGCCTAATCAAAGTGGTGTACGAACTTAACACCATTCAAGAATAAAACATCAAATTGCAAAGAACTGGTAAATCACCTCTTCCATGTGCTCTACATGGAGCTCAACTTTTACTCTAAGGCTCCCAAATAAAGTGCATGTTTTTTTTTGAGGAAAATCAGCATCTCTAACTTGTCGGGGGAGAGCCGATTCCTATTCTCATCAAGAATGTTTGACACTGCACTAAAGAGTCTCTCACTGTCCACTGAGGTGCAGGGGGCACGGAGAAATTTGGTTGCAACAGCAGCCAGTGAAGGGAACTGTGTAGCATGTGTTTTCCAGTAGTCAAGAGGATTGATTTTCCTAGGGATGGTTTGTTCCGAAAGGTAGATCCGTACCTGGACATCTGCTGAGGTGGTACTCACAGATTGGGCCTCTGGCTGACGCTCTTCTAAGATCTCATCTAAGAGGCTACCAAGGCTGCTTCCTGCTCCTTGACGAGGTGCCTTGCTCACAGGCTCTGCTGCCTCTGGTTCTTCACTGGCAACCCTGTTCTCCTCCATCTTCATCACCTCCTGGATGAGGGATTCTTTAGCAAACCTCAGGTGGTCTGACTTTGTGAAATATCTACAAGATAAATGTAACAATTTAAAAAAAACGTTAGGCAAGACACTGTATAACACAACAGTTCAGCTGAGGAAATGTTATATTTACGTAATAGTAAATAATTCTCTAATCATTAACAGAGCTAAATCTAAATTTTAAAAACATAATTAGACATTGGCTGACTTACAGTTTTGAAAATTTATTTTCTTAGAATCAAATTAAAAATGTACATTAATTCTACTTGCCTGTCTTTGTATCTTGGATCCACTAAAGTGGCGATGCTGTAGAGCGGTTCCTTTTCTACCTCAGCAAAGCGAGTCTCCACCGCCTCTAGGAGAGTTCTTTTCATGGTTCGAACACCCTGGTCAGTCGTGTCCTCTCGAGACAGGACACGTCTGAGAGCTGTTTAGAGAATGAATAGACGGATAACAGTTTATTACTTATTTAGAATAAAAAACATTGTGTGTTCTTTAATTAAAATGTAGAAAATAAAACAAAACCAACCTGAAATGGCAGGGATCACATCTGCTGCAGTTGCAGTCTCCTTGCTCACTTCCCTAGTCAGTTCTTCCAAGGGAACTAACACTTCAGCTGTATTCTCCATGAGGGTCCACTGACTAGCTGTTAGTGTAGCAGGGAGGTTGTGGTCAGCTGTATAGATGCTGAGCGCTCGCTTTTGCTCCAGAATGCTCTGTAGCATAGAGAGGCTGCTGTTCCATCTAACATGCACATCCTGCTGCAGGCGCTTCACGGTCATCTTCAGAGAAATCTGGAGATCTTCCGGGCGTGAATAGGCCAAAGGAGAATGTTTGAAATGGCCTATTATCTTCCTGGCATTAGCCATTGTGTCTGTGATGCTGCACTGAGAGAGCAGACCCTCGTGCACAACTAGTTGAAGCGTGTGTGCAACACAGCCCAAGCTCGGTACTGCCAAGTCCTCCATGGCTCTCATTTCGCGCATTGTCACGCACAATTACATGGACACGTTCCTTTTCAATTCCCCAACTGTTCAGCATATCTCCGATAGCCTGTTTCACATGCTCTGCTGTGTGAGATCCGCGAAAATGTTGCGCATTTAACGTAGCACGTTGTAAATTAAAACTCGGGTCAATCCATTGTGCAGTGAAGCTGATCAGTGACATTGGACAAACAGACGAACTCCATATGTCTGTGGTAAACCCAAAAGCAGACACCTTTGATAACAAGACTAACACGTAGCTTGTTGTGAATGCTGGGCAGAGCTGTGTCTGTAAAGTAGCTTCGAGAAGGTAACTCGTACCGTGGCTCCAAGTGCTCCATGAGACGGCGAAATCCTACGTTTGAAACCACAGACAGCGGCTGGTCATCTAGTGCAATAAATTCAGCCAACTTGGCTGTGATGTTCTTGGCCTTTTCGCTATGCTTAGGAAGTTTTTCTTTGTTTTTCAGCATAGCTTCCAGTGTCGGCTGGCTCCATGTTTTGATCTGCGTTGCCGCGGTGAACTCGGAATATTGAGCTGGATGTTTGTTCTTGAGATGGCGGATCAGGGTCGCGGTGTTAAAAGCAGCTCTGTCTTTTCCGCCACGTGAAACACTCAGTTTGCACACGTTGCAAGTGGCTGTTGGACAGCATTCGGTCTCCAGTTTAAAATGACTCCAAACCGCTGACATTTTTTGCTCTCCTGGAGCGAGACGAGCATTAACCTGCTAGCTAACTGCTACCTGAATTCCGCGGCCCACTTTAAAACGTGTGACGTTACGGCTGCCGTATGGTGTTGTCATGTTGTTATTGAGGAAGTGAAACTTGGTACAAAATTAAGCCATAGTTATTCAATTTGAAACTCAAGACTGATTAAAAATGGCATGCTTGTTGTTTTATAAGTTAAATCTGATCTTTAACACCCGATTCCGATCTTTTAAAAGTCACGTGATCGGGCCCGATTTCCGATCACGTGATCGGATCGGAGCATCCCTAATTTTTAGTCCAGCTTTAAATTAAAATTGAGCAACATCTAAATTAGTTCAAAAACTCAGAATGTGACCTCTGACCCTATGCAATCCTAAACTGAGATGGGAGTTTAGACTCCGTTTTGATTTCTGTAATTAAAGTCTTCCCAGAAGTTTGGACTCTGCTTCCCCCAAAGCTGCAGTTCCATTTTACTGTTCCTCATCTAGTTTCACAGAAGTTGGGATTCATTTAGTAAATTAATAAAATGTTTTCTTTGCAAGCTTGTGTTTTGTTTCTAAAGATCATGCTGCAAAAAGTGTCTGTTCCTGAGAAGAATCTTTATTTCTGACTGAAAGGTGCACGAGAAGGAACTCCGATGTTTCAGGCCAAAATACCAGAAATTAGAAAAATATTAAAAATGCACAAAAGTTTTATTTAAAGACGATGAGGCTTGACCCGGCCTGTTCTGTGACCCTCGTTGAGGGCCTAACTCTAACCTTTGGAGCCACAGCTGTTGATGTGAGCTGGAGAATGTCAGATTAATCAGATTTATGGAAATCAGAGCCCCCTACCGCCATCTGCAGGACACATCGCAGCATTGCAAAAATACACGTTTTATGTTAAGAAACCAACATTATGACCACGTGCATGTCTACATACTCATATATGGATCTGAAATCTGTGGCTTTGTGGAGCGTAAACAGCATGACGTCACGAATGGTAAATATTTAAAGCAATAAAGAAACTATCAGCTAATTTCTCCCCATTTTGGCTAAATGTAGGTATTAAAAATGCAGATGGGGTGCTTTTCATAAATCCACCATCAGAAATAGGAAAAAAAAAGTTTTCACCAAAAAGCGTTTAAGGTTATAATTAAGAAGCTGGTTAAATTGCTTCCCTCCTAATTTGTGCAACTTTCTGACTGTTTTCCTCCAAATCCACCAGAGCAAAACAACATTTTCTACATATTTTAGTTAAATTGTTGTAAAAGTGTAAATAACAGCTGTTTAAAACCCATACTTTCTGTGTCAGGAGTGTGGTGTTGGGTAATTAAGTCATACATAGTTAATGATTTTGTTAATTTTGATAATGAACGCACTAATAGGTCTAAAAGAGAAAGGGTGGTGTATTATACTCACAATTATGTTACGTCGAAATTAAAAAGGACTGCATTGATTTTACTGGGTCATGTTGATTTTGTGGCTTTATTAGATTTAGCAGAGATAATATTGCACAACATGTGAATAAAAAATCCTCATTGGCCAAGCTGTGGCTCCTCTTCTCCCCACCTATGGTTGCAGGTGTGTCTACCTGCTCTTAAGAACTTTTAACACGGAAGTTTTCTGGGTGGAGACGCCTGGGGGAGCTGGGAGGCGACGCGTAATGACCTCATTCAGGAATCCGAGCGAGCCAGCCACTGGAAGACAATAACGCATAAATCTGCTCTGGAGCAAATCCTAAACGAATCCTCTCCTCCGGACTCCTGGAGCCAAGTTCCACCATAGCGGGAGTCCCGGACAATGGCATCCGCCGCTCCGACGCATCCGGGCGGCCAGGCGCAGGGGGCAGGGCGCGGCGAGAGCTCCGAGGCGCTGACACCCTCTGCTGTCAACAGCATGCTGATGGAGTTTCTGATCTACTTCGGCCGAGCCATCGTGGTCTTCTACCCCGTGTATCTGACGGGATACCTGGGTCTGAGCATCAGCTGGGTGCTGCTGTGCATGGTGATGATCACGTGGTGGAAGAAGAATCGCGTGTGCAAGGACGAGCGTATCGGCTCTGCTATCGATTTTGTGGATAATGAGAAGCAGCTGATCAACACTGAGCTGAAAAGTACCTTGCAGATGGCTACGTGGGTGAGTTCAGTCAGATCCTGCTCAGCTCTCATCGAAGTGATGGTTCTGTTTGTTTTTAAAGGAAAACTCATAATTTACTGCAATAACAGCTGGAGACAACACCAAGGTGGTCCCTTTCAGCTGTGGACACAAACAAGAAAAACTCCAAATCTTCAGACCTTTTCAACTATTATAGACTTGTTTTGAAATGATTTGACCTCTGCAAGTACCTGGTGTTTTGACACAGACTGGTGTGACTAAACATTTAATTTTATCGGCTATTATCTTTAAAAAGGTAATTATCTACAAATTCCCATCGATAAACTTCAAGAATAATGTTCTAAAAGATTTTTGAACAAACCTGTGAAGTCGGAGATCTACAATCTGCAGCTGTGTCCAAATATAATGAGGATATCGTCAGAATCATTAAATTATGCTAGTTTGAGTTATTTTGGTGTCATTTTTATCTGTAATAATAATAATAATGATGATGATGATGATGATGATGAGCCAACCTGATCAGTCTGAGCCTAATCCAACATCCTGTCATACATCGTGATGTTTTTCTAAAGTCCACCACTCAGTGGGGCAGTAAGCAGGGAGGCACAGATTCCCTCTCCTCCGCCACTTGGGCCAGCTCCTCCGGGGGAATCCCAAGGCGTTCCCTGGCCAGCCAAGAGAGAGTCTCTCCAGCGTGTCCTGGGTCTTCCTTTAGGTCTCCTCCTGGTTGGATGTGCTCAGAAAACCTTAATCTCTAAGGGAGAAGCCAGACACCCTACAGAGAAATCTAATTTTGGCCGCTTGCATCCATGATCTCATTCTTTTGGTCACTACCCAAAGCTGGTGACCATAGGTGAGGGTAGGAACGTAGATCAACCGGTAAATCGAGATCTTCACCTTCTGGCTCAGCTCTCTCTTCGCCACAACAGACCAGTACAGCGTCCGCATCACTGCAGATGCAGCACCATTCCACCTGTCGATCTTTCTCTCACTCGTGGATAAGACCTTAAACTCCTCCACTTGGAGCAGGTCCTCAGCCCTACATGTAAGGATTTTACAGTGAAATAAACACAGAACAGTCTAGTCTCAGTCATGTCAGGAGGAAGGAAACAGATTTCCTTCTCAGCTGGTTGTCAGTTCTTCTGGTCAAAGATGGACATGGTTACGGTTTGTCGTGAGCGTCGAGCTAACGCTGCACAACCGACGTTTGTAATTCAACACCAGCTGGCCGTTTGGAAAAGAGTTGAAGCCAGAGCGGAGTTGTTACTTGTACCCCTAAGAAGCCAAGGCATCTTTCAGTTTTACTCTCATACCCCCTTCATCAGGGTTTTAAGGATCTCAGGAGCTCTTTTAGTGGGCGAATGTTAACGCCCCGTTGTTCCGCGGAACGTTTTAGGAGCTCTGTTATTCCTGCTGCAGAGCGTTTGTACAACAAGCATTTTGTATGATTGTATATTTGATATTTCTATCATGGTTGTGGCTTACAGCAGTGTCCAGTGAATGTTGTGTTTTATTTTTATTTATTTATGTTTTTTGCTGGTGCGTGTTTGTTGTCGTTGTTTTTTACGTGTCCATGGCAATTCAATTTCCCCCGTGGGGATTAATAAAGGCAACCTTGACATCGGGAGATACGGGCTAGAGGCTAACGATGAGCTAACACTGCAAACAGTGACTTGAAAACAATTAACACTAAAAATATATCAAGCTACTTTTTCAATTTCCAACAACTTAATATTGCAGTAAAATGTGTACATCTACTTATCAAACTACGGAGTACGACTCCTCTTCACTTGTAGCTGGCAACATAAAACTAGTGAGAAAGTTACTTGTGTGCTTTGACAATGAGCTGCAGTACCCACATTTGACCACAGGAGGTCAGTCTTGCTCTAATTTCACACATTGCACCTTTAAGCTGGAAGCTAAAAAAACAAAGTGCAGCTTTCCACAAGTGACAGAATAATGACACGAGACACCAGAAGACTGAAATGAGGTATTCCACAGAAAACCAGCTCAGTGGCCTACTGGTCTGAGTGTCCACCCCGGGAACGTATAAATGGGACCCAACGCCTCCTCGCTTTACACCCAGCATTAAAGGGTTGGATTGGGGGTTAAACCACCAAACGGTTACCGAGCGCAGCTGTGTCTTCAGCACCCCCCCCCCCCCCCCCCCCCCCCAGTGGATGGGTCAAATCCGGAATACAAATTTCACACACCAGTGTGTGTGTGTGTGTGTGTGTGTGTGTGTGTGTGAGACAACTAGTGGGACTTTGAGTTTGACTAAATATTCAGTAAAGAGATTCCTGGTATTTTCCTCTTTGATGAGGCAACACGAACGCTTTACTTCATCCCGTTGCGTCATGTTTGGATGACCTCTGACCTTTCATTTTGCATGAAGGTATGGAGTAAAGCAGTCTAATGTGCTTTCACTCTGCCCTGCAGGAGGTTTTGCCCCTTTGCATTTGCCTGTGCCACACCTTCACAAGCAGCGACTCGTGTTACAAGAGAAAGGAAACATGTTCACGTCAGGAGGCGACTTTGTGCGACTGATTATTATCCGTGAGGTCAAGACGAGGCTTTAATAACATTCCAGGTTGATAACCTGCAAGGTTTTATTTCAAATGAATAATTTATTTCTAGTTTTCCCTTCAAGTGCACCTCATTTGGACTGAAGTGCATTAGGAATGTTTTCTCTGTTAACTTCGGGTCGTGCATCCCAAACTTCTGCTTCACTTCAGTTTAAATGTTCTGCTTTCGGAGCAGCATTGGTAAGACCAAACTGCCAAAACTATCTTGAATGAAAAATGTCTAATTTTTCTACCTTAAACACCAATTTAAAGTTAGTTTTGTTGTACTAATCAGGATTCTTGAAGGTGCTTGAAATCCGTGGATTCACTTTAATTCTAATGAGATATTTCCAGTTTTTTGAAAGTTATTGATTATTTAGAAATCATCCAAAATGTGAGATGCAAGTAAATGTTGAAAACGTACATGGAAAGTGCTTGAATCTGATTTCGGCAAATGTATAAGAACACTTTTGTGATGTTTTTGTTTTTTAACACCATTGGCATCATGTATGCTTGATACTGTTCAGCTTAGTGACCACTGATCTATTTAAAAGCCTCCTTGTTTTAATCCTAAGGTGAATTTCCCAGATGTGGAGAAGGTCCAGTGGGTGAATAAGGTAAATAATCCTTTCTTGCTCTTTTCCTGCCCTGGTTTTGTAGTTTGGAGTTATGCTAAGGATTTACTTCTCGGCTGTTCTAACAACGCTTCAGTCGTTTTTATTTCTCCTGGTGTTCAGATCCTGGAGCAGGCGTGGCCTTTCTTTGGGATGTTCATGGACAAGCTACTGAAGGAGAACATCCAGCCAACCATCAGACTCACCAACACGGCGCTCAAAATGTTCACCTTCACAAAGATCCACTTTGGTCACAAAGTAAGTTGAAAACTGGTCCGTTCGTGTTTCCTTTCAAGACCGAATCAGTGACTCGTGTTCAGTGGCGGAAACGAGTCTTGTTCTGTTTTCTTGTCCTTCAGCCTCTGAGGGTCACTGGGATGAGGGCGTACACTCACGAGGTGGACCAGAGGGAGGTGATCCTGGACTTGAATTTAAAGTCAGTCTAAGACACTTTACATCCGCAGCTGTTTGTGTTTTTTATCCCGTCGTCTGGTCGATGGGCTGCGGTTCCTTCATCTTCTGAACCCTGACCCTACCTCCATCTATTTCAGTTTTGACAGCGATGTGGACATCGATGCAAACGTGAATTCAGCGATCACAGCTGGAATCAAAGGACTAAAGGTTAGTCCTGCTTGTTTTCCCTTCATGCCCTTCCCACGGTCCATGTGACCTGCGTTTGGAACGCTAAACGTCCGACTCTTCCAGTTCCAGGGGATGCTGAGGGTCATCTTAGAGCCGCTGGTTGGCCAGTCTCCAATAGTCGGAGGAGTCACCATGTTTTTCATTCGCCGCCCTGTGAGTACTCACACGTTCATCCTGGTGTTCACGATCTAGTGAAACTCTCAAACTCCTGTTCTCTTCTGCATCAGACCCTGGACATCAACTGGACCGGCATGACCAACCTCCTGGACAGTCCTGCATTTGGGTCGGGTCCTGAAGCAACACAGGAAAACACATTTTAGGCTTTTCTGTTAAAATAACCCCCCCCCCCCACACTCCTTTCAGTTCGCTGTCTGAAGACACCATCATCGACATCATCGCCTCCCTCATGGTGCTACCGAACCGCATGTGCTTCCCTCTCATCAGCCAGATCAGAGTGGACCAGATGAGGTTTCCTCTTCCTCGGGTAAGACCGACAGGCTCCAGTTTCTGTTTCGCTTCTGCTAAAAATGAAAGTTAAGCGCTGAAACTGGTCAGGTCAAAGATGAGTGACTGCTGTGTTTCACAGGGCGTGGTGAGGGTCCACGTGGTGGAGGCCAGAGACCTGGTTGCCAAGGATACGTACATGTTGGGCTTGGTGAAAGGCAAGTCGGACCCTTATACGACACTTCGAGTCGGCAACCGGTTCCACAAAACCAAGACCATCAAAGAAAACTTGCACCCAAAATGGAACGAGGTTTATGAGGTTGGTGTTGTCTCGTAGAAGAATAACTTAGAATTAGGATTTTTTTAGCAGCCCACCAGTTTAAGCTAGAAACCATTCAGCATGATTTAGTCCCACACACACCGGAATGTCCTTTATTTCACTTCCAGTTCGTTGTGCACGAGGCTCCTGGACAAGAGCTGGAGGTGGAGCTGTACGACGAGGACACCGACAAAGACGACTTCCTAGGAAGGTAAAATAATTACTGGTGTTTCTTTTGCAAATGAAGTTTAAAAGTTTTAAATTCCTTTTTTGTTGTTAGATGCAACCTTGATTTAGGAGACGTGAAGAGGGAGAAAGAAATCGACCGGGTGGGTTTTCGTTTTGGTCTCCCTGAACAAGAAAACACATTTTTATTTGAATGAAAAGTTTGATGGATTTTCTTGTTGAAGTGGTTTCCTCTGGAGGGGGTTCCTCACGGGGATATTCACTTCAAGCTGCAGTGGTTTTCTCTGAAGACCGACCCCGCTCTGCTGCGAGAGGTACAGCTGCGTTCCAACGACCTCACCTTCAACACGTTCACATTCACGTGAGTCAGAAACTGGCCCCATCCCAGTTAACCTCGTCGTCTCCTTCCAGTCTACCGACGGCCTTGCCTGTGCCATGCTCGCCGTCTACCTGGACAATGCCTCAAATCTACCTGTGAGTATCATCTGATTGGTCATGTCAGTGGTGATGATGATGATGATGATGATCTGCTCTTGTGTTTTGTTTAGAAAGACCACAGTGAGGTAACTGCAAATCAGAAACAAGGGAAGCACACAAGGGAGGCAAGGGTGAGACTTTTTATTAGTGTGTGTGTGTGTGTGTGTGTGTGTGTGTGTGTGTGTAACTTAGGTTTTTTTCTTTCAAGTTCGGTACAGCTGACCTGAAGGACTGCTCTGCTCCACACTCCCACTTTAACATGTCCGATTAAAGAAATCCCATTTCTTTAGCCACCAGCTGGTTCTGCACAAGCAAAAACGATGTTTAAATGCTGAATAACCAACTTGTTAGTGTGAATTTATCAGGAAATAAAAACTCAAGTAACTAAGTTTTAAGAAAAGCGAGGGAGTTCTTAACAAAGAGAAAATATTTGTCTCTTTATGCAGCAAAAACAGCTGAACCTCTGCTTTATATCAGTTTTACACCAATGTTTCTATTCTTTAATAGAAAAGCTGCAGGATTTCTAATAATAATAATAATAATAATAATAGTAAATTCAAACGTGCTCATGTGGATATTTTGCACAAACCCTTTAGTTCCAGTCAGACAGCCATGCTTGGTTGTACCAACAGCTGTAAAGTTAGGATTGATTTTATTCTGTAAAGCTTCATTAAAATGTCAGTCGGAGACGATGCTGCGCCTAATGTCTCCATAGCAACCAGCACACACAAGTCTCATTTTCACTTGTTGCTCAGATCTTCAGTGCAAAACTAGATCTGACAGAAAATCCTCCAGAAAAAAAATCTTCCAGTTTTAAAAGAAACGCCCGAACAATCAGGTTTTCTAAATTTCAGAGAAAAGGCCGATCGGACGGATCAGATCAGCCTGGTTTGGTGTTACAGGTGCGTCTGACCGCTGGTATTTCCTGTTTGTCTGGTTCATGTTTGCCATTCTACACGGACCTGTCGTACCGGCTGGTGTTGATGTGACATTTCCTCCTTCACCAACTGCTCTAAAGATGGAGTTTCAGCAGCAGAGACACCTGCTGGGCTGGAAAACATTCCTGTAGCCGAGACTTTCACTGATTAGTTTCCTCCTAATAAATAAATAAAACATAATCACAGTGTGTTTAGCATCTCAGTTACTCCTCTGGGAGAAGCCACCATGCGCCCTCTGCTGGACATAGTCTGTAACTGCATCTACAAACTAAATCACAGAGAGAATAAAAATGTTTAAAAGGAAAAACGGTCTGATTAGATTTTGCAGGAATGTTAAAAACAGAAGTTGAACACGAGTTCTCCCACCGTCTCAGTGAGAAGTAAACATCTGTTTCTCATATCCTGTGTTGTGTGGCATGTCTGCAGAGACTTGGAGGGTGGAAGAATTTCACCTTCTGCACAAAGCAGCCAGGAAAGCACAATAGTTTTCATAGTTTGTTTTTTTTTCCAGCTCACAAAGAGAAACGTGGGTCCCAACTCGTACGTGGAGCTTTCTGTTAATAAGGACGTTCAGAAAAGCAAGGTATTCGCCACTTCACCCTGTGATTTACACGATTTAGCTGCAGGAGTTTTCATCCCCGTCTCCTTCTTCTCCAGGTCGTGTATTCCAACAAGAACCCGGCGTGGGAGCAGGGCTTCACCTTCTTTGTGCAGAGCATCAGAACGCAGCAGCTCCTTGTTCAGGTTTGTCGGATCGCATTAAGACGCGTTATGGGATCGGGTCCTTCTGCTCTCCAACGGTAAACAGATGCATCTTTGTAGATGTTTAGCTGAATCAGCTGCTGCTGTGATGTTTGCATCCAGATCAAACAAGAACCAGTCAGTTCTCGGGACTTTAAGGCCTTCCTCTCTCGCAGCTGCATCGACGCAGCAGCAGGATAAAACTTGATGTTTAATAGAAGTTTTAAGGTATTTCTTCCTGTTTTTAATGGTTTGTTTCAGGTAAAAGAGCATGAGAAGAAGTCCGTGCTCGGCGTCACGACCATACCCCTCGAACGGCTCATGGACGTCTCAGACATGAGTCTGGACCAGTTCTTCCCGCTGGAGCGCTCTGGAGCACAAAGCAAGATCAAGCTGAAGGCCACTATGAGGGTGGGCATGTTCTCAGCTATTTATTTCATTAAAAGCTTTTAATTAGAAGCCTTTATTTTTGACATTAGGAGTGGAATGGTCCTTCCAGCTCAGGAATGGAGAATCACAAATGTGTCTTGCTTGGTAGCGATATTGAATGGAGCACGAAAAATGGACGGATGGATCTCAGATTTGTCTTAAGGATCGAGAACTTTGGTCCAGTCCTCTGACACTGGACAGTGGATGTTTCTCTGCTCCAACGGACTCGGATCCGTGGCTTAATGACGTCTGCAGCTGATCTAACTCAGGACCAGGGCTGGTTTTCCTGGACTAGTCTTTTGTGGAAAAGATGCCAAATTAACGGTCCACGTTCAAACCCAAAACACCCAGATTCCGATGTCGGGTGGATTTTCCTGGGAGGTGATCAGGATTAACATTAGGGATAAGAAGCTCTTCTTAAAGAGCAAGTCACCCCCCAAATAAACTTTTTTTGCTGATAAACTAAATAAACGAGGGTCTAATCGTGCTGCAGACACGTGTCGTGAATAATTTGGCACTTCAGTGCATCTTAGTTCAAATTTAAATATTCTGCCTAAAACTGGCAGTGTTGTGCCGTCGTCAGGTAAAAACTCTGCACTGTATTTGAATTTAAATCTGCCACCGCTATTGGCTAAGAGGTATGCTATGATGTAAACTGGTACATTATGATGTCACAATGTTGTCGTGAGCCTGAGTGTGTGTGTATTTGTTAGCGGCTCCGCCCCCTCGGTCTGCCAGGCAACAGCATTTGTTGCATTTTTCAAACTTGAAGTGAGAGCGGAGTTAGACTCTGGTAGGGGGTGACTTGCTCTTTAAGGAGGTTTTCCAGGGACGTCCCACAGGGTGAGACCCAGAGCTCATGAGAGGGATTTAAAATCCTCTCTGGCCTCGGAATACTTTGGAATTCTGTTGGAGTTAAGTGTCTAGAAATCTAGACACACCTTTGCAGTAGCGAGAGGTTTTTCTCAGCAGGTCTACCTTTGACCCAAACCTTTTTAGATCTGGCCAATCATGGTGCTACGTTTGTAGTTTTCCTCCCTCACCTCTCCGGTGCTAAGCCCACCCAACCTTTCTCTACAACGATGGCATCGGATCAGGAACGGTGCTTGTTTGAAACAGCTGTTGCATCAACATGGATGATTTAGACTTGGGCTTCTCTTTGAGACGCGAGCAGACAGAATTCCGTCTTCTTCGGTGGTTTTTGGCGGGCTGCCCCGTTGATGGATATTTGCAGCGATGCATCTGTCATGTTTGTTGCTCCGACTGGTCCTAGCGCTGTACAACCGTAGGCTCCGCCCCATGGCTGAGCTGTGTCTATGGGTTGTGGCCGGACTGGCTTGAGGGGTGTCTCTGCCATCTTGGATGATCAGAAGGAAATGTTTCATGGAGCTGGATTAACTGTAGTGCTTCCCGTCTCTCCACAGATTCTTAATGTGGAACATCCACCACCAAAGGTTGTCGACCCGTCTCCGCCTCAAGCCAAACAGCAGAAGCCACCGACCCAACAAGGAGCCAATACCTCCACGTCCACCGCCTCCCCTGCACCAGTTCCCTCCAGTAACACCCCCCACGCCGCCTCCTCTGGTGCAGCCTCCTCCAGTAAGCCCCCCAGTACCCCGTCCCAGCTGGCTGACCCCCAGAACCTTTCAGATGACGGTTATTTGACTCCGAGACGCCGAAGCTCCTTCCTGGCTGCTGAAAGCGAGAAGCCGTCCTCTGCGTTGTACATGCGCCGGTACGACTCCCAAAGCCTGCTCTCTGAGAACTCCATCGCCTCGTCACGCTTCGACCTTTCAGATGGAGCTTCCTACCCAGAGTGAGTCCCTCATAAGTGCCCTGGGGGTGTTTTGCATATTGATTGTTATGATTTTGAACTCTGTTTTCTCATCATTTCAGGGCGGTGAGGAACCACCAGGGCTCGTTCGGGCAGATAAACCTGTCTATACGCTACATCACCATAAGGAAAAAACTCATTGTTGAGGTTAACTCTTGCAGGTTTGTGACGATCTCGAGCATCATGCTGCTTACTTAAGTCGTTTAAAGCGGCAAAAGCAAAAGGAGCTAATGGTGCATCGTCTTCCTACAGGAACTTGTTCCCCTGCAGTGCGAACGGCACAGACTCCTACGTCCGCCTGTACCTGCTCCCAGACCACAGCTGGAGACATCGCAAGAAGACCCAAGTCAAGAAGAGAACCGTCAATCCCGTCTTTCATGAGAAGTAAACCAGCTGGGTTCATCCCGTAAAAGCGGCTAAGTGTAAATGTAGCTGACGTTCCCTCTCGCTGGTCCCGTTTCCTCTCAGGTTTGAGTTTGATGTCTCGCTTAAGGAAGCCCAAACCAGGAAGTTGGATGTGTCCGTGAAAAACAACAAGATGCTTTATACAAAAGAGAGGAAGGACATTGGCATGGTGGGTGAGAAGAATGTCAGATGTGCAGCGTAGCTCGGATCTGATGTGCTGTTGCTTCTGTCCACAGCTGATGTTGGATCTCTCACAGATGAACCTGGAGGGCGGCATCGTAGAATGGTAAGCCTGCCTGCTAACGGACAACAACTCTAACCGAAGTAGACATTTTTCTTCCACTTCTCACTCTTGTGCCTCAATTTCATAAAAAAACAACAATATCTTGACAATGAAACGAACTAAAAACCAATCTGGTTTCAGCGTTTGCTCTTTTAGCTAATTCTCATTCTCAGTTCATGGGAAGCAACAACATTAGCATCAAAAACTCCATGCACTTGTGAAAACGTTCATGGGAAAGATGCCCAACCTACATTTTCCTGTTTAAAGAAGCGATCGACTCACCAGGAATCGACTCGTTTGTTCCCCACACATCTGCAGTGGTCTCTAATATAAATGAACACACGGAGCCCCAGGGTCCAGCCCCGGGCCTGAGCTGTACAGCCCACGCTGGGCCTGGAGTTCACCAAGCACCAGTAGCATTTGAGAAAAGGAAAACGCGTGTTTCTCTTTGTTGGAAGAACAGGTTTTGATGTAGAAATGAATAATTTCATGAATCAAGAGCTCAAGAAGTAAAGCCAGAGACATTTATGGACCAACTGTGGCCTAAACAAGTTATTGAATGGTTGACAAATGATCTGTTTTTCCTCGTTATAATAAGATCTTGTGGTTAAAATGAGATGAACACTTTTGTTTCTTGTTTTGAAGGTTTGAGCTCACGCTGCCTGGGCTGAAGAGATCCATGTAAGCGGTCCTGTTTGCAGCTGCAGGATAAGATGTGAAACCACAGATCTGCACCTTATTTCAGTGACTGGACTTTACTCGAGTCTGACTCATAATGTAATATTTAAACCCTCCCATCTCCGTTAAACCTCAGCGTTATGTCCTTTCAATGAAGCGTGTTCAGATCCACAGCTTTGGTATTTTTTATTAAATCACAGTTTTACAGAAAGACGTTTAGTTGCAGCTTTTATGAAACTTTAACTTTTCTGGAGGTTCGTTACACTTTTAGCAGGATTAGTAAGTTGTTAGGGTTGTTCTTTGTTTTGCTGTTTAAAGGTTTTAAAGGGGACACTTGATGTTTTTTCCCGTTGATATTTATTGAAAATAAACTTTTTTCCTCAAATGAATCAGATTATTTTATTAATTTAATAGAAGTGAACATTAAACAGAAAGTTGTGTATAAGTGGAAAACTGTTGATTCCCTTCACTGAGCTAACAGAGTAAAAGTGAATCCTGTGACCAGAACCGAGGAAGATGTCAGAACTGGTTGTGCGTCGAGCAGCAGGACCTCCTTTTTACATGTGTGAAACATCTCTGCACCATTTAAGCCTTCCATGCATCACTGAGCTCTGGAAGCAAGACTAAAGGTGGGACGTCACGTGGAATTATGGGATGAAGATTCAGGTGAATGTTCTGCCACCCCTTCCTCTATTTGTGACACCATCCCAACAGGAAATAAGCATCCATCCATTTTTGATCGTGGGGGCAGAAGCCTAAGCAAAGAGGCCCAGATGTCCCTCTCCCCAGCCACTTGGGCCAGCTCTTCCTGGGGAATCCCGAGGCGTTCCAGGCCAGATGAGATGTAGTCCCTCCAACGTGTCCTGGGTCTTCCTTTAGGTCTCTCGGTTGGACGTTCCTGGAAAACCTCACCAGGAAGCATCCTAACCAGATGTCCGAGCCACCTCAACTGGTTCCTCTTGATGGGGAGCAGCAACAGGTCTACTCCGAGCCCCTCCCCATCCCAACAGGAAACAAGCTGAATAAATGTTTGTTTTCTGGACAGGATGTTGTCCGGGATTATGAGCTAGATTTGTTCAACTGAATTATTCAGTCGCTCTACTACTGGGATGTGTGTGTGTGTGTGTGTGACAGATGGCTGTACTGAGCCAGGATTCTCTGGAGGTTTCTTCCTGTTGAAAGGGAGTTTTCCTCTCCACTGTCTCTGCATGCTTGCTCAGTATGAGGATTGCTGTAAAGACTCTTAGTCAGTGATGCTTGGCTTAATGAACTGAACTCAATGGGAGTGTTTACTGTGTGAAGGGCCCTGAGATGACTACAGCGCCAAATCACAACAAGAAATAAACTGAATTGAATTTAATCTGATTAGCAACATTTTCTGGACACAGTCTGGACTTTAAAACAGTATTTGAGCTACATGAAAGTGCAGAAAATCTGCAAACCCGATAAGTAAATATTCTGCAGAACAAATGTAAATCAAAGTGTGACACGTGTGGGACCTTGTTACGTCCCCTCCTGAAGGTCTAGGAGGATGAGGGGACTAACACAGGGCAATAGGTGTAGGAGTGTGTGTGTGTGTGTGTATAAAGGACGAGGTGGTGAAAGTAAAAACAAAAGGATTTATTAACCAAGGGTGTCCGTGTCTGAACGGCAAAATAAGGCTTAGCAATAAGGGTGATGAAAAAGGTGGAAACTGAAAACATAAGCGACTAACTGCTTATGAAAAATGGCTTTCTGCCAAACGTACACAACAACCACCAAACTGAAAAATCCCCGGCTCAAAAGTCCAATGGGGATAAAAGTCACCGAACCAAGTAAACTGACACTCTGTCAGCAAAATCCTACAAAAGAGGGAAATAAGCCTAAACCCTTGTAGAAACAACCCTAAACAAGTACCACAACGCTTTAACTTCAGCCAGGAGTGTAGACGAGCTGGGGAGCCGTTTCTGGAACTGTCCGCGGTGCTGAATCCTTGGCAGCGGGGACAACAGGCTCAGGTAGAGATGAGAAGACGGACCGAGGGGACGAGGCCGTCACAGACCTCTAGGAAAAATAAAATCTACAAGGCCACCAAAGTTTAAGACTGGTCCTCTGATAACTTGTGGCACATGTCCTGAAGACACTGCGTCTAGGGTGCATCTCTGCCTCTTAGTTGGCTCTCCTGTCTGCCATCCCAGCTGCCTCTCTCTTGGTCCACACGTTTCCTCCCTTTAACTAAAACCCTGTCCACCTTCGCCTCCTGCCTGGGTCTGTTCATTGATTGGCAGTCCAGGCTACACCCTGCCACAGGTGTGGGTGATTGGGGTGATTAACACAGAATGGAAAGCAATGTTGCACCAAACGAACTAAAAGCACACCATCAATAAAAACATGCACTATAGAATAAAAACAAGTAAAACATGCAAACAAATAAGAACAACATTACCACTCTGCGACAAAAGCTACAGCGAAGTGTTAATTCTTTGCATTTAAAATATAAAAACACAACATTTCCTGCTGCAGAAAGCACAACTCAGAGCTCAGTGAGGCTGGAATAACTAAATGTAACAGGATCCATGCTAAGCCATCTGCTCCTCTGTGACTTCAGTGCTGCTCGTTTCTCAAATGACCCGTACCCATTTTAACCCAAGAATTAGACACATTTTTGTTTTTTACACCCAAACATTTTTTATCTTTAATAGATTCTTTGTATTTATGTGTGAGTCTGTTTTTAGTCAAACTGATCTGTTTATTCACCGGCTGCCAAGTTGTTTCTACAACCCAAAACGTTGTTTCCTGGTTTTCCCTTCATGCACCCTCAAAGCAGGTGAATCTGTGCGAGAAACCTCTTCATTAATGCATAACAAACATAGAATATGGATAAGCAGACACTCTAAAGTGATGAAAAGTGAAATAATTTATAATAAATAGAAGGAATTTAAATTTCCCTCAGATTTAAACGAGACTGGATTTTTCTCTGGTGAATGGAAATCTGTGCAGTTGTATAAAAACACAGGTGGCCAGAGTCAGAAATCGACTTACGACCAAACACAAAAGCTACATTTCGACAGAAAAAGACCCAGAAAAGTGTGACACAGTTACAATGGAGAGAGCAATGGGGGAAATGCAATAGAACAAAAAAAGAATGAGCATCGCACCAGCATCCTCAAAGCGTTTCCAAAGGGTTATTGGTGTCCTCAGTGGACCGAAAATGAGACACATCAATTTCAGGCAGTGTCCTCCAGAAAGCCCAGCCTGGCTGCACCATCAAATAGAAATTATGGATTTTGTCTGAAAGGGTTAAAGGTGGAAGAAGCCACAAAGAAAATGAGGTCACAGACGGACAGAGACCGTCCACGCAGAGGGACTGAGGGTCCACGCAGAGGGACCGAGACTGTCCACCCAGTGGGACTGAGAGGGACTGAGACCGTCCACCCAGAGGGACTGAGACCATCCACCCAGAGGGACTGAGGGTCCACGCAAAGGGACTGAGACCGTCCACCCAGTGGGACTGAGGGTCCACGCAAAGGGACTGAGACCGTCCACCCAGTGGGACTGAGAGGGACTGAGACCGTCCACCCAGAGGGACTGAGGGTCCACGCAAAGGGACTGAGACCGTCCACCCAGAGGGACTGAGAGGGACTGAGACCGTCCACCCAGTGGGACTGAGAGGGACTGAGACCGTCCACCCAGAGGGACTGAGGGTCCACGCAAAGGGACTGAGACCGTCCACCCAGAGGGACTGAGAGGGACTGAGACCGTCCACCCAGTGGGACTGAGAGGGACTGAGACCGTCCACCCAGTGGGACTGAGAGGGACTGAGACCGTCCACCCAGAGGGACTGAGACCAGGGACTGAAAGGGTTTGGGAGCGTCCACACAGAGGGACAGAGAGGGACTGAGGGTCCATGCAGAAGGACTGAGACTGTCCACGCAGAGGGACTGAGAGGGACTGAGGGTCCATGCAGAAGGACTGAGACTGTCCACGCAGAGGGACAGAGCATCCACCCAGAGGGACTGAGAGCGTCCACGCAGAGGGACGTGCACACAAACCGACAGGTGTGAGCTGCTGCGAGCTCCATGCGCTGCTCTTTAGGCTTCATCGTGCAAAATCTGGTATTTACAGATTAAATTGATTAATAAAAAACATTGTTTTAATCATTTTAAAGCAGAGAATTAAAAACAATCCAATACTTAAAACACAAATCTTTAAGTCCTTTCTGTTGTCCAACAGAACGGAGAAAGAAGATGATTATTTCATGCAAGTGTCGTGTTATAATTGTGATTCTGCAGCAAGTCCTGCAGCGGAGGCCGGTCCTAGAGAGAAACACCCGTCTACGTGGACTTGTACTGCATCAAAAGCTGACAAACAACACATCCCTACACTTCACCCACAGCATTGATCAGCAGTGCATGAAATTAAAACCATCTCACGACGTTCTACAGCAGAACAGTGAGCAGGGAGGCGGGTCACTGTGCAGCTCTGAGCATCAAGGCCTGATGATGCTTCATCTTGGCTGCTATCATCAGATCCGCCACTAGGAGATGCTCAGGACTCGCTCATCTTCAGCTGCTCTCCTTCCTCCTTTATTTATTCCTTTATTCATTTGCTTTTTAAAGATGCTTTGTGTTTTATGTGTGACTTACCAACTCCTGTGTGCAGTTAGGCATAAAACCAGAGCGATATCAGTTCAAAAGGTTTATTTGGACTGACCCGTTTTCCCTTTAACTCTGCTGCACACCTCTGTAGCCCATTTCTAATGAGCAGAGGAATGGAGGAATATTAACCTCAAAGACACTGGAGACCTCTAACAAACTCATACACTCTCACAACTCTAGCAATGCAATTTCTAAAAAGATAAACTATAGTTATTTGCAGGATGCATCATATTTTTTTCCTAGATGTTTGGAAAGTCTGCCTTCCCCATCCAAGTTTCCCCTGCATAGATTACCTGCTCTATCAGCTGCCAACACATCCTGTCCTCCACTGAAGCCATCTGTTTGGTGCATACAAACTACATTATCACACATAATACCATATTACCCGTCCAGTGCACTCATGAATAGCCTCCCACTGGCACCGCCAATACAAAATTAGACCTGTTATTACATTGTCCTCCTAAAGAATGGGCCAAAATCACAAGCATGATGAAATTCACAAAAAGACACACTCACACTTCGTCAGTCAGACACACTCGGCTGGAATGATCGTGTTCCCTTTGCAATCCAGGCTGGATCCGTTAGTTTATCCTTTTAAAACTGATAATCTGCTGATTATTGCCAGAACAACTCCAATCCTTAACTTATGTAATCTTCCAAGTTTTGTTCCTAAACTAAACTTTAGATTAAAGCAAAACTTTTCTTTGTAATAACTCTGAAACTGGGCCAGCTGTACTTTATAATGGGCATAC